TCTTTGTTTAGGTAACTATAAATTATTATGAACAAACTTCATACAATTTCTGCTGAGCATCTAATGCAAATATAATTTTTTTAATTTGAATAAATCAAAATGCTTTGTTTTTTTGGTTTTTTTTATTTATTTTTAAAATGAGTATTTAATTAAAAAATTAAAAGTTTAACAGTTTAATAAATTTATCTTTTCTAATCTACTATAATTGATATTTTGTTACATTTTATGAGTAATCTTTCTTTTTTGTGTTCTTAAAAACACAAAATTTGATGCCTAAAAGTAGTTTAGGCTAGCTTGCATTTCTATGATTTTTAACAACTGGTGCTTGTTTTTACATCAATTTTAAATTTCTTTACAAACTATTTTGTGTCTGTGTGTACACACACACACACACACACACATATATATATATATATATATATATATATATATATATATATATATATATATTCCTGTCTCATCTAATTGCTAGCTTGATTCTTCTCTATTTGATACTATCCTACTTTCATAAGGTTGTCAGGCATTGTTATTATAAAGTCTCACCCCACCATTTTTTTGTTAAAATGTAATGATCCTTGATTCCTTCACTGTCAGTTTTATAAATATATATATCTAGCTGTGATTTTGGTGTTTTTCAATTCACTTTTTCAACTAATGAGCATTTTTGCCATTGCTACAAATAGGGTAAATGTAAAACGGGCTACTGAATGATATAAAATGTTACTTATTGTAACGAATTCAAAAATTAGAAACTGAAGTTGCAATTATACGTTTTGATTCAGTTATTTTTTTATGTTAAGTGTCATTGTCATAGCCATTGCTTTTTATTTTTTATATGCAAATTTATACTGCTTGTTGCTTACATCTTGTGTATTGTCCCTTTCCTGTAAGAAAAGTACTTTATTATTAACAAAATTAGTATTTTAATACTTCTTCATGCAATTCATTTTCACTTCAATTTTATTTTTATATTTCTATTTTAATTCTTAACTTTTTCTAAAGTAGTTAATTGGTAATTGTATCTGTCAGTCATTTCATAAAATTTTCCATAAACATTGAAGAATTATTTATTGGAATTGCTGTCAATCTTCAGACTGATTAAGGTCAATGATGATAAGTTTTAACATGGTTGATCATGATTGATTTTTTTGCTTGCAGGTTACCTGTTTAAATGGACTAGTCATGTACAAAATTTGATCTGATCTATTTTACTAAAATAGATTGTATTAGGCATGTCAAACATTAGACTGAAATTATTTGTATACTTTTTTTCACTCCTTAAGTTAATAGGAAATATAGGGAAAAGTAATGATGAATAAAAGTCCAACTTGCTCCTTAACAACTTAGTCATGTTAAATGTATTATAAATAAATTTGAATAAAATTGTAATTTCTGGATTTATAATTAAACTTTGTATTTTGTAAACCTAATTAGAATATGATATTGAAATTAGTGTTTTTTTTTTTTAATTTAACATTCTAGAGAGGTCTTGAAAATTACTAAAGTTAAAAAGTGTTTAGTATTTGTAGTGTCTTTTTGTGTTTATCAATAGTAGCAAAAAATTGAATTTTTGTTTAAATTTTGTATTAATATTAGTCAAGTTTTAATTAATGTTAAACTTGAAAATATATTACTTCTGATAATTCTTTTAGTAGAACTAGATCTTCCTTATATAGTGTCTACAGCATTCACTAATACATTATTTGCTGGCTACATTTTAAAGTCACTTTTGTGAATATGAAATATTTCAATATGATAATGTGAACAGTTTATCCTCAAAACAAACCTTAAATATTTGAGTATTATTTAAGGTAGGTTTTATGAATTTGAAAATCTTTTGTTTATTCACAAGTTATTTTTTTGATAATATTTATCTTCCAAAAGAAAATTTTTAGGCTAAAGCTTTTTATTGCAAGAAGATGTTGAAAAGTTATTTGAATTAGAATATTTTTTTCTGAATCACCTCTTAGTAGATTGAGAACTTTTCAGTTTCTCCTCAAAGCTTTTGATAGAAATTGATAACAATTTCTTAGTGTTATATGAATTTAGTTAAATAATTTCCCATTTGAGGAGAAATAGCTAAATAAATAAAACAAAAAAATTATTCTGACAAGCACAAGACATTGATTACTGTAAGAGCTATTTAAGATTGTTTATTCTCTTTGATTTCCTCTGTATTACTTGAAACTATTAAACAATATAGTCAGGAATGCCATAAAGAGACTGTATTATTAACAGTTATCTATAATAATAATAATAATAATAATAATAATATATATCTGAAATTATATACTCTATTTAGCAGAATATAAGCCATCCAACTGCTTCAAAATTTGACTTTTAAAATCACCCTTCATCCTATATGGTAATGTTTAAGCTTGGCTTCAATCTTGGAATATTTCCAAGCAAGGTTAAAAAAAAAAAAAATTACCTCCATTTTTCTAACATATATACAAGCAAACTGTTTTGACATTTTTAATGAGTAAATTTTTATGGTACTTTTAGAAATGTAGTCTCTAAGTAATAAGGACTTACATTAACTTCCTTTGTCTCTCTACTAAAGTTACATTTATGATAGTTTATATTCAATTTTCATATTGGGCAACTTATCAGTTTAGCCTATGGTTGACTAGTTGGAAATTAGCATTTGATAAATTTTTAAGATAAACTAGCATTATTTATATTTTTTAATTCATCATTTTAGCTTTGATCTATTGATATCTTATGCAGATGAGATTTTCATACATTCATTATCTACAGAACAAAAAAAAAAAAATGCTGTGATTTACCATCAGCCTATACTCAGATTAATATCTGATGGAAGACACTTTTAATTTACTGCTGTAAGTGATGTAAAAACCTGTTTCTTTTAGCAAACTTAAGTTCAGAATGTTCTCATTTACCTTGTAAAATCAGCTGTAGACCTAATACAGTCATGTACTGTATTTTAAAATATATATTCTAATGAGGCCACAAAGAATGAAATCTTTTGCTCATAGATATGGATTCCAAGAAGCTTTCATTTTTTATATTTAGCAGCACTTTGAATTGATCAATATAATTGTCTAGACAAATATGAACTTCAAGCTACAGATGTCAATAGCCAGAATTCTTTAATGCCACAAGATTTTTTTTAAAGACCTTAACAATATTACACTCATTCTGATTACTTTATCTGATTAAATATCAACTACATCTTGTAAAATGATACATTTGAACTTGTGAAAATATAGAATTATGAAATGGTCTTTAATTTTTTTTTCTTCTGCTTTAATTAGACTCTGTCCTTGACGGTTTTGCCCTTATAATTTATCCATTTTCTAATTTTTTGTTACAGTTACAAACTTATATGGTATCATTTTGTATGTTTCAACTTTTATTTTTCTGTTTAGATGATTTTATAACAAAAATGTAAAATTTATTCATGGCATTTAGTGAATAACTCATTTAACTAAAGGGGAAATTGATAATCCTTTTTTTTATCATTATTCAGATCGGCTTAATTTATTATATATTGATTGTATATCATTAAGTATTTAGTCTTAAAGTATTTCACTTATTGAACTATTTTTTTCCAATATAAAAATGTTTACATGCACCAACATTGCTTTGTATTTGCAGACATAAAATTTATTTTTGAATTGTTTCTTAAAAAAAGTTAATTCTAAATTTTTTCATATTTTTCTGTGTTGTTTCAACCTGTCATTGATCAATTTATCTTGAATTTATTTTGGTGGAGCTAATTACAGTTTCAGATAGAGTAAGATGAAATTAATAATTTTGAACTTGTAGTATTTGTTAAATGAATCAAGGCAGATTTGGGACAGGTTTTTTTTTTTTTTCTTTCTTTCTTCAGTCATGTATTCTACTGGAAACAATTTTTGTGTTTTAGTATTTATTCTCATTCTGCATACTCCAAATTTACACTCTGCCTTTCTTCTTTGCAGACATGAAAATTGGAATACGGGTCAGTGATCATTATAAATGTATGCAAACTTCAACATGGACAAAACAATTCGAGGCCACAAGATGCATTGTTTCTACTGAAAAACAACTAATACCTCACAATATTCTGCATATATTTCTAACCAGAAAAATCCAGCTGATTCATTAGGATGAAATCAAACCGTCGCAAGCAAACTAAACCAAATCGGGTTTCTTATAGTTCAGATTTGGAATCTGGGGAGACTGACCCAAAACAGTTTCAGAGTCCTCAAGACTATGACTTAGAAGAAGGAGGGGGAAGGTTAACCAATGATGAGGATGACACCAGCCAGTTAAAAGAAGAGGCTGCTGATAATTTGTCTTCTGGCCAAAGTTGTCCTGAACTTTTACCATCTCAGTCTCCAACACCAACACCACCACCAACACCACCACTCTCACAACCACAACTACAACCTTTACCAGCACCACCACCGCCACCACCACCACCGCTGCCGTTGCCACAACTACACTCACCACCACAGCAATTGCAACCGCTTTCCCTTGCACAACCCTTATCACAACCATTGTCTCAACCACCACAACAACCACAGCAATTGTTGGAACCAGAACCAGAAGTAGAGAGAGAATTAGAGAAATTACCACCTCAAGAAAACAACAACAACAACAACAACAATAATAATAATAGCAACAACAGTATCAGTTTGATAAAGTCCGAGTTGCGACTGTCCTTTCCAACAGAATACCATCGTTTAGCAAATGAACTTCAGCAGAGCACCAAACCACTGTCTAATGGTCACAATGGATTGGAGCCAGCACCTACTCCAACGGTTGTGCCTGCTCCAATACCCCTTAATGCCAGCACAGGTCTTGATAGCACTGAATTAGAATCCAAAGATCCCAATGGTGAAATGAGCATAAAGACAGATGGGACAAGGATATTTCATCCTGATGCATATTGTGAAATATGTGATAGAGAATTTTGTAACAAGTATTTTCTAAAGACCCATAAAGCAAATAAACATGGTATCTATGAGAATGCCCCATCACCATTTTCTATGAACACCTTTCCTTCAATGATTCCTCCACCTCCACCTCCTCCTCCTCAGCAACAACCGCCACCTGAGCAAGTTGTCACCCCATCATCATTTAGACTAGATACACAGCCACAAGCTCCGAAAATAATTCCTGAAGCCAGTGTCAGTCAGGACTTAGAAGACTATTGTGAACTCTGTCAGAAGCACTTCTGTAACAAATACTACCTCAAAAAACACAAACAAGATGTTCATGGTATTGCACCAGAGAACTCAAATAGTTTCAGACGTGTACGTCCAATTGACATCCCTACTTCATCCGTTGCTGTTACCTCATCACCTATTATTGTACCTCAGTCCATGGCCAGCATGCCTAATATGGCTGGTGTTATGGTGTTGAATCCTTTTGTACCTCCTGTAGCGATAATTCCTGCACAGCCTTTGCTGCATCAGCAGCAACTCCAGCCCCACTCAAGCTCTGTTCTGTCCCAACCCATTGCCGCCCCACTCCCATCACATATGGAAGCTGGACCGCCACAACAAACACCATCTCCACAACAGAAGCAACAACAAATGCAAAGTCAGCAGCAGATGCAGAACCATCAACAACAAATGCAGAACCACCAACAACAGTTGCAATCACAACAGCAACAGCTGCAGAATCATCAGCTGCAGCAACAGATACAAAACCATCAACAGCAATTGCAGAATCATGTGCAGCAACTGCAAAACCAGCAGCAACAATTACAAAATCAACAGCAACAACAACAACAGCAACAACAACAACAGCAACAACAACAACAACAGCCATCTCAATCCTCACAATCTCAGCCTCCACAGCCACCACCACCCCCACCACCATCAAATTCCGCCCCGTCTGCACCACCCATTGCTAGTGATGCACTGCGCAGTATGGGGGTCCTGAATGCAGAAGCATATTGCGAAATTTGTCGCAAGGAGTTCTGTAACAAATACTTTCTCAAGATCCACAAGGCTAACATGCACAATATGTACTCAGATGAAACCACTATCAGGCAGCTGCAACAACAACACCAACAACACCAGCAACAACAGCAACAACAACAACAACAACAGCAGCAGCAACAACAGCAGCAGCAACAACTACAACAACTACAGCAACAGCAGCAACCACCGCCCCCTCTGCCGTTGCCACCACCACAGGTACCTCAAACACAAGCACAGCCACAACCTCAGTCCCAAATTTCGTCCAGATCGGCTGCCGATTCTGAGCATCCAGATGTAAAGAAAGAGCCAGGACAAACAAAAGAGTCACCATTGCTCTCAAAAGACCAAGGGAAAGAAGATGGTCTCCCTGTGCGTGTCTCGCAAGATCAAGGAATGCCACTTGTCATGAAATCAAAAGAAATGGGAATTAAAGAAGTTGAACAGCTTAAAGATCAACTCCTTTCTAAGGAGGCTGCCAATCTGGTGAAAGAGCATGCGGGCCTGAAGGACCCCAACATTCTCAAGAACTTAGCACTGTTGAAGGGATCTGGAATGAATGATATCTCACAGAATCTCTTGACAAGTGCTGGTATTAACCTGAGTCAGTCTGGTATGACCAGTCCTGTAGTGGGCATGTCTCAGAACATTCTTTCCAATTCCAACAGTGAGTGCTATGTTACATATTGCAATATCTGCAATCGAGAATTTTCTAGTAAATACAGCTATCGCATTCATCGTATGAATGTTCATGGTGTCTTTCATGACCCACATGTGAAGAGCCACCAGTTAGATGGGCAGCTCCAGAGTGACATGGCTGCTCATGTTAAAGCCATGTCTGGTTATGGTGGCACAGATATTAGGAATGGAAATGGTGGTAGCGATGGTAATGGCATGCCCACACTCTTTGGGAACATGATTGCTGCCAAACTGGCTGATCGGGTCACCTGTGACATTTGCAGCAAAGAGTTGTGTAACAAATACTTCCTTAAGAATCACAAACTCAAAGTACATGGAATTGACATCATGTCTGCTGAGAAAGAGAACAAGCAAAGTGAGGGTAAGTCATCCTCACCAAAATTAAATTTGTACAAGGAACAGCAGAAAGAGTATGTGCGTGACATCATTCGAGACCAAGCAAAAGAGCTAGCATTGCTAGAGATGCAAAAGATTGACATGAATGGGAAGGAGTTCTTAAGTCCAATGGTTAACATTGAAAAACCTGATCATCATGAATTGGTTAAAATGGGAATTGACCCAGAAGCTTATTGTGAAATTTGCAAAAAAGAACTCTGCAGCAAATACTTCCTCCGAACTCATAAACTAAATATTCATGGCATTAAATCTGACAAAGTGGATTCAAAACCTGATAAGCAGATTTCGCAGCCGAACAAGAAGTTGATGAATAGTCTGGCCATGAGCATGAGCATGAACATGAACATGAATATGAATATGAACATGAATATGGACGGTTTCCAGCCAAATGATAGCTTTGAGAAACACACCTGGAGGTGGAAAGAGCCTGTGAACTCCTCCCGGGTGATCTGTGACATCTGTAACAAGGAGCTCTGCAACAAGTACTTTCTGCGAACTCACAAACTGAACAAGCATGGGATATTGCCGACAGATGAGCAAAAGCTCACACCAAGTCAGTCTGTGCGCTCTTCACCAGTTGACAGTGGTAGCATTGGTAATATATCACCTGGTAGCCAGACTGAGAAGCTATCAGATAGCTTCTCACTCTTGCCAAACAGTTTGTCTGACTCTAACCTCACAAACACAGAACCAAAACTCTCTTCTCAGAACACTGATGAAGTAAAGATCAAGACAGAACAACCGGATGACAGCTCTCCAGTTAACAACCGGTACTACAACCATTTCACTGAAGTCTGTAAACTCTGTGACAGACGGTTCAAGAATGAAAAGTGGCTGCATGCTCATGTCTTAAAAGACCATGGAGTGTCTCTGCCCTCTGACAAGAAGTACATCCCATTGGAAGCCCAAATGTGCCAGTTTTGCTTCAAAGTATTCCCCAACAGTATAAGCCTTCAGATGCATGTGTTGAATGACCACAAAGCAGAGGTTAGTGTGAAGCCAGATTTCTCACCTCCTAATCACTTTGGGGGCATGCTTAACAACAGCTTCAGCTGGGGAAGCAGCTTGAGAAGGAAGTACTCACGGGGTGGTAAACCAAAGCTCTACAGTTGCGTTCACTGTGATTACAAAACGAGATGGCTTTCCAACATCTATTCACATGAAGAACGCAAGCACAGCATTCACAAGGGCAATCTTGGGAGGTTCACTTGCAAAACCTGCCTTAAATCATTCCTCTATGAACATTCTCTCATCCGCCATATCACAGAATATCATGGAAATGATATGAAAGAATCTAAACTTCGACCAAAAGGCAATCATGTGAAAAAATTCAAGTGCGCTAAGTGTGGTGAAAAGTATCTGTCAAAGAAAGCTTGCCAGATGCACATACGTGAGGTCCATGTGAAGAAGCCTAAGCTACCGTCAGACACAGAAGCTACGGAGGACAAGGGGTTCTACTCATGCAGACATTGTGATTTCACGTGCAGCTTTGCTAAGCAGTTACAGAAACACATGGCTCATAACCATGGTCCAAAAATGTCACCGCCTTCAAGAAGAATGGAAAGTGAAATTGATGATTTGGAAGATTCCAGCTTGCTGCCTCATAGTGTAAGTGCTTTCTCAAATGAAATCCAACTGTCTTCACCTAAAGCTTTAGCTGAAGCAGGTGGTAATAACAACGGCAACAATACCGCTACAACCACCACTACAACCACCACTAATATTATATCTAGTACAAGTAATAGCAACAATTCCAGTAACATTAGTACTGATACTATCAACAATGGCTTTGGCAGTAGAATTAGTGATACCAATTCTCAAAGTCCTTTCATTATGCAAGCATTTCGCCTGGAAGATAGTTTGGTGGAAACAAATTTTATTCCTTCAGTGGTGCACATGCCAGTACGTCAGCGTGTGATGGAACCTGTCACTGTCACACTAACTTTGGTACCCGCTGAACCTTAGAGATTTGTTCCTCATGAAATAATTTGCAAAAATTCACAAGCATGTTGAAAAATGAAAATAAACTCCCCTAAAACTACTCACATGCAACCGATTATGAATATTGGTTATATCACATAACATTTTTGAAGAAATCATCAAAAACTGTTACTCAAAGAACAGTTAACAAAGAGAATAAAGCACTTGTAAATTAAGGTTAATTTTGAAAAAATCTGCAGAAAAAAGAAAATTACAGATTATACAGGTTACCAGCAGGTATGTTGCACATTACTTGCTGTTTTAAGACCGTGTTGAAGGTTTATGTGCAATGAACTCCCCACCTGAAACTTGCATTTACTTTTGTGCTTGGTCTGTAACTACAATTTGATTTTATAAAATTATAATGAACAACACTGGAAAAAGATTTTAACAAAATAAAACAAGAAACCAACAAATTTGGTTGTTTCTTAGAAGGCAGCAAGACAACCTCTTGTAGACTTAGAATCTCAGTATTTTAAAGCTCTGTTGTTAAGCCAGAAGCATTAGTTATTTTGCCCCCCTTATCCCATTCTTCTACCCAGTTTAAAAAAAAACAAAGTAAAAAAAACAAACAAAAAAAAACACCAAAAAAAAACAAAGTTCAAATAGTTTAAAACAAAAAAAGGCAAAAAAAAAAAAGTCACTGATAGCAGAGCAAAGGCAGATGAAACAAATTGTCAAGTTTATTCCTGTTTCAACAAGCAAAGGAAGTTTGTTGGGCATCTGCACTATTTTTATATGTGTCTATACCTCAATCTTGGATGAGGAATTGCGCACTGCGATTGCCATTGGAAGGTATTAAAGTGGATTCTTAAAGAATGGAAACGAGCAAGAAAGAAAATGAATCAACCTCATTTTAGACAATTTGAGAGAAAAAAAAATACGTATATGATATTTTTGTGAGCTTATCTTGGATTGGTTTTGTTTGATGTGTGATTCTATATATGGCAATATTGTGATCTTTAACTTAAGTGTGTTTGATGAGTGAGAGTTTGCCAAAAAATGAAAAAAAAAAATGAAAAAAAACACAAAAATGGATTGTTGGATAAGTTTTAATTTTTTGTTGTGAAGAAAAAACATTTCCTAAAACAAGAGATGAATATTGAATTTTTAAAAATTCTTTTTTTTTTTTTTTTTTTTTTCTTTTTTTTTAAATTTTAGATGGTGTCTTATACATACCCCACCCTTTTTAGAATATTTCCTCCTGCTACAAGCTATCTGGAACCAATCCTGCCACTCACTCGTATATTTTATTCCATTTTAATTGTATCTTTATTTATTTAAAGCTCCCAAACAAGGCAAAAAAGAAAAACGAAAACCTTCCCCAGATTTGAAAGTTATCTCCAACTTCTGTAGTTTGAAAAAAAAGGTTCAAATCCTTGCTAAATATAACAAAATTAGCTCTATGGGAGTCATCAATAGCTGCTGTTACTTTCTCCCTTCCCTCACTCTCATTTCCTTGCACCTCATTCACCCTGAGGTTATCAATCAGCTGGTGGGAAGATCAAACCACTGGAACGTTGAGTCTGTCGTGGCCCTCCTCATCTGCTACTATTAATATTATTTTATTTTATGACTTGGTGTAATTATTTGACCTGAATCAAGGAAGATTGATGTTTTTGTTTGGAAATTTTTTTTAATCTTATATATTCAGTTGGAGACTCAATTGAAACCTGCTGTGTGTCAGATTTTTTTCTTGATGAATTTTTTTTTTTTTTTTTTTATCTGAAAAAGTTAGCATGTAATATTTCACTTAATTGTACCAAGCCCATAAGCAATATACTGTGATGACATAAGGAGAATTCTCGCTGACCAACTTACACTTATCACAATGAAAGCCGTTGTTTTCATTTGAAACTGCCCATTGCCCTAATAGTAATCCCTGCACATCTTGCAGCTTGTCTTTTGGGGTTCACAGATGTGATGTGAAATGGTTGATCTCCAGTTTCTTTCCTGTTTGTTTTGGGGAAATGAAACATTGTTTAAACATTTGGTTGAAAATAATCTTTTGGCACTATTTTTCCCACGTTGAAACTTCAAGAGTTGAAGTGAGTTGTTATTTATTTGTGTCATGAAGATTATGGGCTTGTGCTGCAATGGTGTTATTAACTACTTTGATTATTACAATAAATTAGGACATTGCTTGAATGACATGATTAACTATTTCTCTTCTGCATCAGAAGGGGGTTGTTTGCAGATCTTTCCCTGGTGTAAGCCTTTACTAAGAAAATGTTCGTGGCAGCTTGAAGAGGTCCTAAAAAGAAGCCAAACTGTCAACTGTACAAATGAATACATCATTGTGATCTTGTGCAAGTCACTGCTGTTGAAGAAGCTATACATTCTTCAAATGTTTATAGTTAACATTTACAGCTGTTGGAGATGGCTTTCAAAGTATAACAGATACTAAACTGTTACAAAAAGATATCTTGGTGATCTTTTGAAAAATTTAGATTTAAAAAAAAAAAAAATATCTTTCTAACTTGAAAAAAAGAAAAGCAAAGAATCACTTGCAGGAAATGTAACATAATTAAAAGATTTTATATATATATATATATATATATATATATATATATATATATATATATATATATATATATAAATATAAATTTATCAGTTTTAATAGCCAAGCATAGTAATTTTTTTCCATGATCCATCCCCCTGCTCATGAAATGATGAAAAGACCTTGGGTAAATCGGAAAGTTTTTTTTAATTGTGTGGAATTTGGGTATCTGTTTATTTTTTACATATTTATTTTTTTTTTTTTTTTTTGTGTGTGTGTTTTGTGTGTGAACTTTTTACATTGTCATTTTTAATAGAACTTTAATTTCTACATTGTTAACAGGCATGTAAACTAAGACAGATAAAAAAAAAAGGTATCTATTTTGTCTAGTCTTCTATCTCCCCACACTCCCATATTTTCTGTATTCCTTTGTCCTCCTTTCTTTTATCACCTGTTTTTCTTTCTCTCATTTGAACAGGTCTACATCTTTGAGCACACTTATTACCATTACTTATTCAGATTTTCATTTTTAGGAGTGGGGTTGATAACCTTTTAGCATTTACAAGAACCAATACTATTTATTTTGAAATTAGCATGATCTAAGGTCAAATTGTATCCTGATGTGATGTGCATAGATTTTTATATTCTTATTGCTTATTTATTTTAAATATTTTCCATTTAAAATCAGTTGTGTACAAATAATTTATGTTAATTTTTCTAAAACAAAAACTTTCAAATTTAATCTTCACTTGGAACAGCTTAACTAATTTAAGTGTAAAAGTGGATTGTTAATTTGTGTCACAGGAATTTTTATTAAATTTTATAATGGTATGTGTATAGATGAATAATGAATTACCTTAAATCTTAATGAGTATTCACTTCATAATCTCATTCAAATTCTGTATCAACAATAAAGTCCTTTCTAAATAGTGAAAAAAACATCTCCAGTGAATTAAGATGGCTAACTAGGAGATGCTCTAACATCCACTCTGTTGACCAGAAGCCAGATAATTTTTCATTTAGTCCTCTGGAGTTCTTTTTCTTTAAATTGAAATCATGTAAACATTTAATGTTTAAGAATTAAACCAATTGTTATAGGAAACTTTTTTTCCTTTTTTAAATCAAGCTGTTAAATTTTTTTCCTGTGATGAAAATAGCACAGCTGACGGTCACTGATCAAAAAAAAAAAAAAAAAAAAAAAAAAAATAATTCTCAAACAGTATTTTTCTAAGTTTCTCTTTATCAGTGGCTCATATATGACTTATTTTAACATAAGTAGTTTTCATGCTAAAATATGTCAAGGAATTCTGATTATCATCATACTTAGCTTTTTAATTTTAAGTCATAAAATATTCTCTTTCAAGTATCTTAATTGTGAAGAGTGTTGTCTTTTAATGAGGCTATAATTTGTAAGTTATGTGCATCCATTTAACCAAGCTGTCCAGTAGCTTACTACTTTTGAAATCACTTCAACCATATTTATCATGAATTATTTATGTGTATTTTCAATGACTCCCTACCTCATCATTTTTCTACATTTCTGTTTTGTTTTTTGTTTTTTTTTATCGAAGTTTTTCTATTTTATTCCCTCTGCCCCAACTAAAAGTGCATTATTGGAGCTAGTCATAATTAGAGAGAAATGTATTTTTTTTTTTCTAAAATGCACATTTGAAAAGTATATTTGAAAATAATACAGATAAAGACAATTTCTAATTTAACACCATTACCTCAGTAAGATCAAAACTTAAGCCAATCATTTTATTGAACTTTTGATTTATATTTTATGTTTTATTATTTGCCAATACTGTACAAGAATAGTTTTAAAGCCTCATTTTGTTAATTGTTGACAAAATTGCATCCTCCTTGTGCTCATTATTGTGGATCTGTCTTAACTGATATATTACCTACCCACTAAACCAAGACTGTTATCATTTTCTTTTTCGTTTGCATGTATGGGTGTGTACATATTCTCTACAATTTTTTTAACCAAAGTATCACCAAGAGATTACCCTTAAATCAACCATTACATTTTTATTTTATTTTTTCAGCCAAGCCACTTACCATATTCATTTGGTCATTTTTTTTTTTTTTTTTTTCCTCAACAATTTTTCCCTTATTCCATTCCGTTTTGCCATATTGTTTTATATTTTATATTCTATTTTTCTTCCCTTCTATTTGCCATTTTCATTTAATTTTCCATTCATTTATTTTCTCCACCTTCACCCAAGAATTCATTCCTCTGCATTTCCGATTTTAAGTATGAAGCATTTACAATGCTGTTTCTATGTGCAGTATATGAAAACCAACCAACACACACCCATTTTTAATCTGTATTTTATCTTTTGTCTCTCATATCAACCATCTCTCATTGAATGAGAAAGTCTTCTTCAAAATTCCTGGGCTGAGGTTCAACTTGCAAATACTAACTGTTGAATTTTAGAACCAAGAGTTTTTTGTTTTTTTATATATATATATATAATATATA